CCTGTGTGGTTCTGATGTCATTACCTGGGATTCGAACCCAGTACCAACAAATGTTCAAGTCGTGACATTTTATCAGGAACAATTATTGTTCGTCCTTTCTCACCAATATAAAGTGTTAATATGATAAAGCTAAACACTATGGGAACGTATTATTGCTAAGAAATATGATCTACATTGAAGATACTTTCATGTAAACATAAGATAATTTTATCGATGAAGAAGATATTCTGCCTCTTTAAACAATCGATTATTTTAAACTTTCAAAAGTGATATGTATTTATTGAGGTACTACTGTACATTGAATAAGGTACTTTTCAGTGTTTAAATGTTTGGTTCAATTAATACTTCTTCAATATTTTGTATTTCAATGCTGATAGATTCATTTTGAAAATAGACTAAACGACCAACACGCTGGAAAAAGATTTAAATACGTCCTATACGTATAAATGTATATATGATCAATATTCAACGTCTGTATAAACTATTTACTACTGGAGTCACATATTTAAAAGACAGTCATATGGCTTGAATAACGATACACATTATTATAAAATCATATATGGATATGAGAGAGCAAGTATTATTTACGTCGATGTAAATGTGGCCTACGTAGATGTCAGCATCACCTACGGAGATGAAGCGTATTCCAAGAAGATGATACAAAGTTTGAGACAGTGGCACTAATGCGCTTACATACAAACATTGGGCGTTCTGATCTCACATAATCTCTTCTGTAAACAACATCTTCCTGCTTGTCAACGTGGTCTTCGTTGAAGGGCGTTTCGCTCTACCGACACTTCAGTTGTTTTTTTATCCTGTACAGCTACAGAGGGTGTAGACGAGTGTAACTAGGTAAATATGTTGCACATATGTGCACACAGACTGCTGGGTGTGTTGCAGGGTATATTTGTCTGGAACACCGGGTGGTCCGGCTCATTAGCATTCTATGTTATTACAGCATGGGGCAGAGTCAGCCCTTCCTTCAGAGAAAACACATCGTTTACTTTGAATAAAATGTTGTGAATAACGACAATATTTGTGGTGCAAACAGGCACACATTGGGTCTAATGCAAATTGTATGTTAATAACGCATGGAACTTTGAACTACATAGAGTGGTTTGAAGTAAAGACTGGAGCTGGAACCTATGGATCACCATGGTTACGAAGACGCATGTACAGCTGGACCAGGGACCTTGTTGTTGAAAACCGGTCTCACAGTCGCGACGTACTCGGGAACATCCTGACACGACGTGCATTTAACATTGTTGGATCGCTTCAATGTACAGCTACACCTTTAGAATTATAGTTAGAGTAATGTCCATTTGTCATGCGTAATCTGTGTCACCCACTGAGTTTACGCTGTGTTTAGATTTCAACATGAATATTCATTATGAGAACATACAAATACTCTTCCTGGTTGCAACTGAATAGAAGGAGCTCCTTTCATAGTTTGTAAGGTGGTTGTACCGTATTCATTCTAAATATATGATACTTTCTGACTGACATGCTTACAGGAACACAGCCCTTCTGGGGAGTCATTCTTCGATATGTAACACTCGCTGTCCGAGCTGTGAGAATGAATGAATGAATGAATCTCAATACGAGAGGAAAGGCTAACGTAAGGGCGTCCGTATTTAATTCTGTTTTTCTCATCTCCCGCCGCCCGTAAAAATCCCACCCGCCCATACAATAAAACATATATTTTTATTTCTAAACTTTGCGCCGACCGTTCTCAATTGTACATCGCCCATTGAAAAAAAAATGTTTCACCACAAGAAAAAATAAAAATTGAGTTGAAAATGTATTAAATTTCATTGAAAAACCTTTCTTCAGCAGGTATTTAATAGGAAGCAACTCTTGCATCTCTACTTCCTGTCACGATTTAGAATTCACATCCACTAATATTTACGAACCGACAATGTAGCTATATTACTCTGAAAACCCTTGATAATCATGTAAAGTAATAAATTATGATTTTCATAATTAATATAATGAATTGATATATTTGCAAAAAAATATTGAATGAATTATTGTACCATGCAAAGTCACAATTCTGATTGGGTTTATTGCCCACTATAAAGAAGCATGTGCTGTTTAATCAGCGAAAAGTAGACACATCTAAAACACTGAATAGCTCTATAGTGACAGAAAAATTGCAATTATGAGATTGATGTAACGGAAAATTCATTCTTGGTCACAGATAATTCACAATCCCAAAAATGGAATTGAGGGGACACAATTTCTACAATCTTGTTCATGAATCGGAATAAGACGTTTCTATTAATGTATCTGTGGTGTTTAAAGATCATCTGAATGTTTGAAGCTATAATTCGAGGTGATTTAAACGGAATGTAAAATTTTCATATTTCGTCTCTCAACTGTTCCATGTCAGGACAATGTTGACTAGAACATCATAAGTGTTCAAGAATAATGTGGTGATATTTGCCCCATGCCACCATGAAGCGTATAAATATTGCGTGAATTACTTAAAATAGAATTGTGCAGAATCGGTTCACTTTGGTTGAAAATCTCCTGGCATACATATAGTTGCAAGGCAGACCTGTCATACCTTCTATTTTGGCATATTTTTTTCCATGCTTAGGTTTACTTCAATATTCCGGAACTACATAGCTCAGTAAAACCCAATGTAATGAATCCACTTATGGGATTAAAAAAGCCATGAATCGCCACTTGAACAGGGATGTAACACTACAGTCTGTTCCTCAAGCCTGTAGTGTTTATTCACATATTGTGTTACATGAGACAACACTTTACATTTTGAAGTCTATTTATGATTGACAGATAGTCATCAATAATTATTATCTACAACAATGTGTAGATCACAATCATCATCACAATCATCATGTATATTGACTAAATTGTCTTCTTCTGAAAATAACTGTTTTATACAGACTATGTGAGTTAAGCATTAAGAATTGGGCTTTGTACGATCTATTTGTATGGGTTCCATTTCGAGAGGTTATGATATTGTGACTTGCAATCACTTGCAGGTACTCGTTAAAAATGTTATATAGACTGGAGAACTGTACATGATGCACACAAAATTTCCCTTGAGAAATCATCTTATCTAATGACTTGTTCATTTGGGCGACTGAAATAATTCGGTATGAATATTTAGTTCTTCTTCTTCTTGTTTTAATCATCTTTATCATCAAAATGACTTTCATTGCAAGTTATGATAAAAATTATATCTATGCTATTGTTATATTTATTTCAGTAAATTATAAAGTTGCAAAATGATATTACGTGTTGATTAGGAGAATTATAGTCTTTAATACCACAAACTAAAGCTATAATTAGCATTTAATCTGATTATAACACATATCATTACAAAGACTCTGTGACAAAGCACAAAGTATATGTTGAGTATATATTCATATTTGAATATTGGTTGTTTTGCCCCTTTTTTAGTTTCGTCAAACCCCTCTCTTATGTTGGAACAGTCAGGCGATGAGAAACACAGAATTAAATACGGACACCCTAATTTGAGATATGTTCCTGAGATAATTCATGGCCCCTGATCCCTGGTAGCTCAAGTACATACATTAGTGGAAGCATTGTGGCCAGTCGTCTTTGAGTCTTCAGTGTGTGTGTATAGGTGTGTCCAAGATTCGACCAGATAAAGTGTCAGGTTTTGTGGGCTTCACTGCAGTGGCATATCGTAAAAAACGTTATCTGTTAACGGTCTTCCTCCAAAGCAGGCAGGTATGTGTTCTATCACCATACAGTGCATACAATCACATAGGATTCACGTATTTGTCAATAATCATATTTTATAACGTTAGAATTCACTTCATACACGTCATTCATTGGTGTGGCTATTCGTAAAACTTTATCTGTTTTCAAAGGTACTGAATATACCTAACGGTTTTCCCCCCAAAACAGGTAGGTATGTGTTCTATCAGAATACAGTCACATAGGATTAACGTATTTGTCAATAATCATATTTTATAGCGTTAGAATTCACTTCCCGAGTTAACAAGTCAATATGCCATTTCATGCAGAACTAACCCCTGTTTCCCAATAACATCCTTACCCAGACCACAGCATAGATAAACAGTCAATCTAGTTATCACCAACTACAAGAAATCAAGAACATTTTGAAAAAACGCATTTTCTTAGCGTCCATCGTAATGTGTACAACATATCTCATGACTGATTACATGCAAAAGCATCAGTACATCACGTGTCGACACGTGATACGTTGTTTATGACAACGTCGATATCGTACCAGAAGTTGCATAATTCCTGTTCGTTTAGTTAAGATATTATAAGGCTGATGACAAGGAAGTAGACATTCTCTGTTATTGAAAAAGGCTTCAAGTGATGTTTTCAACTTTATCGGGGCAACACTTAAGACATCTACTTAAAACGAACGTAAAAGATTTACTACTAGTGGCACTGTTATCACACAATCTACTTCCTGGTTCCAGATGATTGAAGCATTTATAATTCCCAAAGGCGAAGTACATCTAACTTAATATCATCATGGACGTCGTGTTGACTTTGGCTGTCCTCATATTACCGGCCGTCATCTCAGGTATGACTTTAGGTGTATACATTACTTAAGTTGTGTAAGGAGCGCACAGTTAAACACTGGGATCTGAGTGTCGGTTACCTAGATATGTCGTTGACTGACATCTGTATGTACTGCCTTTGTGCATATGTCTCTCGGACATTGTGTTGTGTGTGTTATCTATCCACGAACATACGAGTATATGTACGAGTTGCCCATACGATCTGCAACAGGTTTCCCGAACGAGTTCGTTCATATCTTACATACACTATAATACTTTAATGCATTTCGTTTTGTTTGGTCAGAGAACATATTAACTGGAGCATATATGTATAATAAATCAATTTTTGCTTGATGAGGGCAACAGACGTGCTGTATACTTACTAGTGTTGTGTTGTAATAACTTGCCACTGATGACATGTCCCACCGGAGGTTATGACAAATGATTATTCTTCTCTGCAAGGTCTACAGACATGCTCCTCGGGGACAGAGATGAGCTCCACTCAAATCCTGCTGGATGTGTCCTCCACACAGATCAACACTGAGGGAGGGATGTGTTCCTGTAGACTGACTGTGTCACAGACAACACAGGTGGATATGTTCCCTGTTAGCTTGGCACCACGGTGTGATACATACATGCTTATACATAAGTGGAGGACCAGTTCAGAGTGTACAAATGGCGCTGTACACACTCCACCTGCACAGAGTCACAACGTCAACACCTATGAGGAGATATGGATCCTGGTGGTGGCTACAATACCTGGATCCAAAGGATTGTCAGGACAGCTGCAGTTCAAGGTGAAGCAGCCGTCAGGTGAGATATGTTGCCAAAAGTATGATCTATTGAAAATATTATTGGATTAGAGTGAGTGAGTGCGTTAATATTTAACGTCATATCGGCAATATCTCAGCCATATCCTGACGAAAACAGCAAAAGTGAAAACATTTTGGAGAGCAAAACCTGTCGACGATTGACAGAAGAATACTAGAGTATCGCAGATATGAATGAAAAACTAGCATGTAAAACTAAACATTTTAATTAAAGAAGACAATACAATATAAAACACGAGCTATAGATCTCCAACAACTGAAGGTACATCACTATACTAGGAACCATGGGGAAATTACAGTGCTTTTGCTACCTGCATGGACCCTAGCTGGATTTACACCATCCCTTCAGCCTCTGGCGATGGTAGGAAAATTTAGTCGAAATTTGAAATAACAAAAATACTACGGTTACAAAGTATGGTTGTGCTGATATACAGTGTTGTGCAAACATAGTTCTAACTATAACCGGACGGCCTCACTCCTTCCACACTGGCAAGATTCAAACTGTATTTATAACTTATGACACCATCAGGTTCAAACAAAAGTCAAACATATAAATATATATTTTGTTCTCAATGAAACTTGATTTTCGCATCATAATCAAAATTCTTCAATCTGCACGATGTACATATTACCTAGTATTATATTAATTAGTAAAAATTGTGTAATGATATCCAAGAAACAATGTCAGAATTATGATTATCTCTCAATCCGTGATTACCCGTGACATTTCAGGCAAACTGAATGCCCATACTTGTTTCGTCTTTTCCGCTATCTGAGACGGGTTCAATCTTCGAACAAATCGGACCAACTAAATACACACAAAACTCGTTAATTAGCTTTCGACAACCAGTTCACCGTCACTAAAAAACTGCAACCAATGGTTCCATGATCATTTTTCGTTTCAACAGATCAGCTAACGTTTGAGTGTTTTGAGCCAAACACTAACAGCAGCACAACTACAACATCTACAGGGAGAATTCCATCTACATCCCAGCCAACCACTCGTACTGAAACAGTACGTTCACCTGATGCTACACATCAAGCACAGCCCACATCCGCTCCAGGATCAACTCAGAACCTCAGGACAGGAAGTCAAATTTGCAATGATAACTTTCCAGGTACAAGTTCCTTTCGATGGCTATTTAGCAGATGTTTCAAAGCGTGTCAGTAAGAATCAAAATTGATTTCACAGGCCCTTCTTTTCGACTGCCTGTGTATACTCGTTCCCCGACAACACGGTTCTTTCTGTGGGATACAAGCGAGACAATTCTGTGCGAAATACCATAAAAAAAACAAAAAAACCAAAAAACAAGAAAACCAGGAGTCCATGGAACTAATTCTGACTTAAACATGTGTATATGTTTGTGAATAACTAGCAACAATGTGTGCGTATCTTGCATCAATATTTGCACCCGTCACTGATTCTTAATTGTGGTGTAGTTGATACCAGGGTTATCAAATAGTTTTATCAGCTCAATGAAAACACTGGTAAAAGTATTACTCATTGTTTCTTGAAATATCAATGCAATATCAAACGCATCATTGCGGTCTGAACCAGGGGAACGCTGCATTATATTTCAGTTACGTTGCAGTCAGTGTTTAACTATCATCTGAAAGGAAAATCTGACGCGGTTCGTATGATGCAGATCCCTGATGAATCATGTATACACGACCTTTCACGCTTTGATCAGAAATCAAATGACTATGAAATTAGAACAGATCCCATGCAATCAGTGCTTGTAGAACGAAGCAAGTAAATGAATGATTATGTCTTCATATCCTGGCCGTGCACTCTCTGGTTCATCTGGTCTAGCTTCGTCTATTTGAAAACCGCCATCATTGCAATATTTTACTGACGTATTTTTTGTGTCAAAAACTGCTCATCGCATCTATACTGAGGATGGAACCTTACAAAATTTGCCATATCAGTATGTAGCCTTCAGAGGGGAAGGTTGATGAAAATGTATTAAAGATGCGGATGTACTAGTCTGTCAGGAAGGACGGGAATCAATGTGTGACTGGTGAGTATTGACACTTCATTTATACTACACATGAACCAAACATTTGAATCCTAACATCTTCTTGTTTCTAATAACAGGTCACATATTTGCTGCAGGAATAGCCACAGGTGGCGGGGTGGCCATTGTTGTTCACGTTATCTACCTCTGCATCATCAGGTATGGACATTTCATATACTCTCCACTCCTTTTTATACATCTTCAGCAACCCATGCTTGTCGTTAAGAGGCAACTAACGGGATCGGGTGTTCAGGCTCGCTGACATAGTTGATGCATGTCATCGTATCCCAACTGCGTTGATCGATGCTCTTGCTCTGGATTGTCTGGTCAAGACTCGATTATTTACAGACTGCTGCCATATAGATGGAATATTGCTGAGTGCAGCCTAAACAACAAACCAACCGAACAGCCAAAGATCTACAAAGAATGTTATACAAACATGTATATGTTGTTTTACTTGCATTGCGAACAGGATATAAGATGTATATGCAACGATACTTTATAGAAGCCGGTTCTTGTCACTTTGACCAATGTGCTAAAAAGGAAAAGAAATCACTTTCATGTCTATACTAGGTTCCTTCATCACTTTTCACTGTGACGTATTTCAGCCCAAGATACAGGAAATCCTGCCGTAAAAGTTCTGCTGCTGACATTCCTATGTCTCCTGCCCACCCCACTTATGCAGGCTTCATTGACAGAACAGAGGAACCAGCCAGCATCTATGACAGCCTTAGTCCAGCTGAGGTCATCACCAACCCCTCAATCAATGAATAACGGATGCAATCTACATTAGGTGCTATTACTAGTGTCTACTGTTGATAACCTGTCATTCGCAACTAAGTACTGACATTCGTTCAAGTCAAACTGTTTTGAATGTGTCTCTATGTGCAGTGATGTAGTACTAAGGTTCATCTATATGTATGAACACACAATACATCATGGTTCAAACACTTTGGGTGGAATATGCTGCTCAAGCATACAAATTAAAAGATTGACACTGCAATGTATATTTTCAAGGCTGCAATGTAAATAAATGCTGTGGTGTTTCGCTTTCACACAAAAGATTGCAGGATGGTTGCAATATAGTCTGGCATCTGTCACTGTGAGATCTGGAAGAACTGCGCCTTGCTTCTGCCAGCTTGTGTTGACGTATGACCACAGACGTAAGAGTCTGGATGATAATAAATATTACCCCTTGTTCCTGCCAAAATTGTTTAAATTAGTATATTTCTCCCTCGTCTGAAAGTTTACTTGGTCAGACATTTCATATTCTTGAAAAGATTCCGGTGACATTAGAATTTGAGAGCTTTGTAAATATACAATCCAAACAGGAAACAGGTGTGTTACTGGTGTCACCATGAAATGGTCATATCATATTTCACTTACTTTGCAATCAGAGTGTAATCAGAATGTGTGAGGAAAACCTTACCTCATAATTAACACGTAGTAGGCTACAAGTACAAACATGGGTAACCTCCAAACAAACCAATGGTAATAATCTACATGTAATACAACTTCAGGTGTGTCTGTGGATCATCCCGAATGTCAATATAGTGGCATGTTATGTTGGTGATTGTGAGACCCATGTGGGTTGTTTTGCAGGTGGTAACATAATTTTAACACATATGACTCGAATTGTATGCAAAGTGTTTAAACACTGCGACAAAATTCTCTTATATATACATTGCTATAGGCATTACACTGAGAAACATTCATAACAACACAGTTGAATAGCAGATATTTTGGGAAATATATCTAACAACGCGAATGCAGGAGGTTTATAGTGTATCAACAGCTTCAGTTTCTCGTACGCATCACGATCTGGGTTAGAATTGGTCTTGTCGAAAACGACGACTGATTTGATGTGGTTAGAGTGACTAACTCACTGGTTAGTGCATATCATGGTGTCCAAAGGGAAAAAATGCAAATCGATGCTCACAGTGTCAGCCACTTGTCCAGTTAAAGTCTTTTCAGACCGTCGACACTAAGTTGAAAGATTGCTGATCTAAGTTTTTAAATCTCAAATTTGCTGATGGTTTTTCTATTATATCAAAATACAAGCTGATTATCTGTCATTACCTACATACACAAATCATGACTTATCTCAACATGCCCTTTCAGAAGGTAAATGTTACACTAAAACCTAGATGATTTTGGATCAGACTGGTCTGGATATACAGCTTTCTAAAACGTAAAACGAATACTGTATTCTGTAGTCTATAACCGAAAAAATGCTAGCCAGGTCGATTCAAAGACGACGTTACAGTGTCGAATAACAAAGATACATAATACGTACTCCTTTCATGTGAGCTGACACGCACAGAGATTAATTCACTTTCTGGTCCCACGTCAATTTCACCTGTATAATTATCGAAGGAGGAGTACACCTAAATGTAGATAATGGACGTCCTGTTGACTTTGGCTGTCCTCACGGTACCGGCAGTCATCTCAGGTGAGACTTTAAATGTACATGTTACAACCTGTGTAATGGGCGCACCGTTAAACACTGACAATTGCATGTCAGTTACCGACGCTTGGCGTTTGAAATCTTTATGTACTGCTCTTGTGTGTATATCACTCATGCATTGGGTGTGTATATGTGTCCTCTATCTATAAAACATGTGAGTATATAGTTGTCAATAAAGACCTATAACAGGTACACACATTTTCACACACGTTACAGATACCGAAACACTTATGAAGCCTTCGTCTTGTTTGGTCAGGCAACATGATATTAAGAACTAAAATTTACATTAGGTCCGGCTAGAATCATCGATAATCGGAAATATCGACGATAGGAAAAATATTAATGATTATCGATATGAAATGTATGTTACCGATAATATCGTACTTTCGTGATAGAAAAACAGTTCAAATCTCATCACATTCATTTCTTTCAGACATTTTTGGCAATTTTGCTTGAAGTTACGACTGAAGTTTAATCGAGCGATAGGTAGTAACTGATTATCGATCTCCATGATCTATATCGATAGCCATGTTAAATTGTTGTTCGTTTTATTTAAGTCGTTATGACGCTGTGTAGGTTATGGCAAGTGGGTTTCCTACTCTACAAGGGCTACAGACATGATCCTCGGGCACAGACACCAGACCCACTCAAATCCTGCTGGATGTGCTACAGATAGTGTATATATGTTATTGATGACTTTTTACTTTCTGCCAAGGACTACAGGCATGCTCCTCGGGGACAGACACCAGCTCCACTCAAATCCTGCTGGATGTGTCTTCCACACAGATCAACACAGGGGGAGGGATGTGTTCCTGTAGACTGACTGTGACACAGACAACACAGGTGGATATGTTCACTGTTAGCTGGACACCACAGTGTGATACATACATGACTATACAGAAGTGGGGGACCAGTACACAGTGTACAAATGGTGTTGTACAAACTCCACCTGCAAAGACTCACACCATCACTACCGGTGAGGAGATATGGATCCTGGTGGTGGCTACAAAACCTGGATCCAGAGGACTGTCAGGACAGCTGCAGTTAAAGGCGAAGCAGCCATCAGGTCAGAGATAGTTCCAAAACTGTAAAGGCTAGAACACAATTAAACTCATGTTGTTTGATATCAAAAGTGTCCTAACTGTATTCATAATGGTACTGATGTGTATATTCCAAGTAATTAGTGGCAAGGTAACAAACAAACATGAAGTATTCACACACATACACACACATAACTATTTGATTTTGAATTGAAACTAACATATTCAGATTCCATATACATGTACATCTGCCTGGCTGACCACACGCACATCCATTGCTTTTTTATACCTTATACTTGCTCACTATAAACTTCACAGCACATGCAACAGTCATAGTCCAAAGATTGCCTTGTCCACGTGGACAGTGAGCGAGGATGCTGTGCACCAATGGCTTGTGTTTAGAGGCAGCCGAATGACAATATAAGTAAAATTTTAGACAAGGTTTAAAATACACTTTGATCTGTTTAGGTGAAAAAATACACACGAATGTAACCTTTGCCGAATCTTGATGTATTTCAAGTACACATTAAATCCAAGTTTCAGGGAGGGAAAGGCCCATTTCCAACTACACGTGTATTTATAACATATGTTATATTTGGGATTACGCTCTCTCAGTAAAGGACAAATTCTAGTACTTTTTGAGTTGAGCACCATCCGGGATTCGAACTCACACTCTCAGAGTCAGGCACCTAATCGCCAGCACACAAAGTCAGCCGCCTAACCCACTCAGCTACCGCGACTTCCACAAAAATGGAAGTCGGACAACTGGTAGTCTAGACTGCGGGATTTGTGTACCCCTCTGATAAAGTACTAGAATTTGTACTTTACTAAGAAAGTGTAATCCAAAATATAACATATGTTACATTTGACCACTTTCTAAATGGCATTGTGTAATCATAGCTTTCGGCCGTAGGGCCGTGCCAATTAACACTTATCAGAGGGGTCCACAAAGCCCGCAGTCTAGACTACCAGCTTAAACAAAGCTTTATCAAGGTTACAACTGCTGGACATTTCAAAATTTGACACTTCAGTGACCAAAATTGATGTCAAATACAATTCCCTGTTTTAATTTGACGTTTTTTCAGGTTATCAGTGATTTGCTGTTGAATGTACTTGTACTACGCGCTTTGGTGGGGCAGGATAGGCTCATCCTTTCTGGAACACCTGGGATCAATGTTATTTATAAGATATTCATAACAACATGCTCATGATAAAGTCAGAATCATGGGAATCCATAAAACAGTATACAAATTTCACATCGGTACTACAATCACCCTGCACAATATGTAACAGTCACAGATGTCATGTTTCGTTTGATATTGTTTGGTTTAGTGGAGCGGATAAGCAGATCAAATGTGCATTTAATGATAAAAGCATGAAACTTTGCACATTTATAGACTGATGCATAATGAACATTTTAGGATATGGAGGCACTCAAAATAATTTAATTTGCTCATGCGCAGTAGATAAGTAATATTTTGCCTTTTCTGGCTCCCGTTATAGCTTTGGGCCAGAAAGTTGTTTCATCTTATCATCTGCTTCAGCTGTAGAAGGTAGAGAATTCCGAACTTCTCTGTCTTCAATAAGTAATCATTGTTGAACGTCTTCATATTAGTCTGGACTTTTCTGATAATTGTTCCTGGGAACCAAGAAAATTGGGGAGCAGACCTTTAAGATTTGTGTGATGAATGGGTCTTCCAGAAGGTCCCACTTTGGCCAATACTTCCTTGTCTACGTAGTAAGGTGAGTCCCGCCGATGCTGAGCAGATCTGGTTGGAGATAGATTCCTGGTACTTTTCCTGGTTGACCATGGACAAAAGCATACATTCTTTGTCGGACTGTGGATCTTTGAAGTGTGATATCATCGCCTTGTTGATGGATCTGGAAGTTGAGGCCCAGGAAGACTCGTCTGATAATAGTATTAAGCTGAGCAAGCCGGGAAGACCCTGCATTCTGGTAGCTTTGGTTCTTGATGACTTGCAAAGTTGCTCCAGTTGGTGGTAAGGTGAAGGAGGACGATCCTTCGATGGGGAAGCTATGGGTAACCCGTCTGCAATCCAAGTTAGCTGGTATTTATCATCGTAGATGGATGTTGGCCCTTCATGATACGATTCTAACCCTGTTGGCACTAATATGAGAGAGTGAAGAGTCACAGGCTTGGTCAAGTGCATCCGCTGCACATACACAGCTTGGAATGTGTTGGGGTGAGATGTGTTTTTTTCTATTGAAGGGGAACACAAGCACTTGATTTTCGACTACTATTCGCAAATGAGATCAGATAAGCAATCAGTATGAGTCAGGATAAGTGTTTGCACTTAATCAATTGATATTTACCATTAAACAATAAAACCAATTAAGTATGATTTGTACCGGAAAATATGACTGCTCCCTTGTGAAAGACAATCTGAAGTATCTCCCTTGTTTGCCCTTGAGCCATGAAGTTGGGGAATAATCACATAGATTTTGATTGTTAAACATATCCAAGACTTTTTGTATTGTGCTGCATTTCTTTTGTCACTTATTATGCTCATTTTCAGTCAATTGTAATCAGATAAATCCCAAGCATGCACACATTTTCTCAAAGAGTTCAATAGTCCAAAAAGCTGTCTGCTAGCCGCCATTTTGGGAAGAGGGAGTGTTAATTGTTTCAAAATGTTTTGTATTATTCTAAAATTATGTATTTTTTGTCTTTTCATGAACCTGTAAATCACTATTTATGAAAATTATAGGCGTGTAATGAATGGCAATATAAAGATCGAAGGGGAAAGGCTGAAAATAGTATGTCAAAGTTTATGTACTGCGCATGCGCACAAAATACAAAATTTGAGGTGCCTCCAATATCTGAAAGTATTTCAGATATGTTCTTTTATATGATGACCGATTTTGGTGCTTTTATCATCAAATGCACAATTCTTATGACAAATTTATCTTAGCCGCTCCACTACAACAACACCAATACCATCTACAACAACAGTACCAACAACAACAGTAACAAGCATGACGACAACATCAACAAGGCCAACAACAAGTACAGAAAGTACAACAGACAACACGTTTCAAACACAGACTGCTGCCACAGAAGACACGTCTACTAGTTCATCAGCTGAAGTTACTTCTGGGTCAGCTGCAACACTAGCAGGAAGTACTCAAGCTTCTTCTCCTACTGAAGGTGCCATTGCAGACAATACAAAGGGTATCTTCCCAGGTATGTATGCTTCCCAAAGTTCAACACTGGCTCTCTCTCCCACTTCTGGGATCGGTCAAAATTAAACGTCTGCAAAATTGAAGTTATCCTGGGTGTTTTCAGTAACTGACAAGTTCGTGTTGGTGTTCTGTGAACTATATTAGAAATGTGAGTGAAATCTTTTTGCATTAATAACAAATAGTGCAGATATGTCAAGAATCATAAGTGTGAATGCTATGATTCTAGCAGACCTAAAGATGTACACTGTGTACACAGTACTGTGAGGCCATAGATGAACATTGTTTAGGAATGTCTGATATTAATCTCACTATACTTCTAAAAAACACGTGCACTCTCTTCAGTACTGGTCTAGCCATTCAAAGATTTCTGTTTCAAGATATACAACAATCTATATTTGGAAAAACAACGTCATATTTTGAATATCCTTATCACATTAATTTGCAAGTGTACACCGACATTGTCAAGCAAGTGACAACGACATTAAAATCTATGTCGAGACGTTGCCTATACAGAATAAAGAAGTTGTATATCCATAAACACTGTCCTCATTCTTCATCTCCTCAACTTCTAGAATGCCAATCACATATGTAAGAAAATAGTAGAGATGATGTGTGTGAAACCCTACAAACGCAGCAGTATATACCACGTAAGAATTGAATGAATGCTTTTACCGGTGTCACAATGAAATAGTTCTAACTTAATGATTTCAGTTTCGATGCAGTCAGTGTGTAATCATAATATGACTGGAAAATCTTAAGTGAAGCTGGTCATAGGAGTAAGGTGGTCGGTAATCTATATGTTATACCACAGAGCTGTCTGTGGATCATAGTATATCCTGATACATGAGACAGATTCACCCCGCATGTCCATATTGTGAGATGTATGAAGGTGATTGTGAGACCATTGTGAGTTTATTGCAGGTGGCATCTTTGCTGCTGGGGTTGCTACAGGCGTGGTGTTGGTCCTCATTGCTGGCGGACTGTACGTCGTTATATCAAGGTGAAGATACTAACACCTGTCATGTTCAAATCTTATGTAATCAGTTGTAGGTTTAAAAGCACACGTGGCAATCAATATCAGATAGCAGTTCATATTGGTGAGCAATATGTTGCATCAAATGTGATCAGTTGTGTTTTGTTACAGGCGACAATGGTGGACATCCCGCCGTCAGAAGCCGGACGACATCCCAATCTCTGAAGCCCATCCCACCTACTCTGGCTTCACATCCAGAACAGAGGAAGCCATAAACACCTACGACAAAATAGATCCAAAACCTTCCAAGGGGACGGACAATCCATATATCAATGTGTCATAAATTAAGTATCTTGTTCTGCGCCATGTTCTACCGGTTAATTTCAAACTGTTGCACCCCTGGATATCACAGTTAAGTGAAAATCATAATTACTTTTAGAGAAGGGGCATAAGTCCCACTCGATGATGTATGGATATGGTCATTTGTACCAGTAGGTTCGGACGTAAGTCTCTGTCCATCTTGTGTGGTAATGGACATCTTTATGAGTAGGTTCTGGCGTAATCCCTATCAATGATGTGTGGATATGGATATCTTTACGAGTAGGTTCTGGCGTAATCCCTATCAATGATGTGTGGATATGGATATCTTTATGAGTAGGTTCTGGCGTAATCCCTATCAATGATGTGTGGATATGGATGTCTTTACGAGTAGGTTCTGGCGTAATCCCTATCAATGATGTGTGGATATGGATATCTTTATGAGTAGGTTCTGGCGTAATCCCTATCAATGACGTGTGGATATGGATGTCTTTATGAGTAGGTTCTGGCGTAATCCCTATCAATTATGTG